TCACATACTTAGGGATCTATAATTATTATGATATGATCCCATATATGAAAGAGTACTCAAGGAAAAGGATATTTCTAATATTTATAAACATATTTCCTATACATTCACCCTAAATTAATATCAAATATAATCTGTATTTTTGTAATCAACTACAAGCTCATTTGAAAAGCATAAGAGCTGAGTTTCTTGTCAGTTCATAGATCGGAAGCACTCAAAACTGACGGTAGATTTGACATGTCATAAGAGTCTGTAATAGACCTACAATATATATAATATATAGCAATATAAGACTAAGCTCACATTATTAGGTTCAGTCCGTACGAACTGTGTGTACGACGCGGTTTGATTGGCGCATTTCCTAGTGGGCGGGACGTACCAACCAATGAGCCAATCGACGTGATCGTCAAGTCATCCGAATAAATGTTATTGTATTCGGAATATTAAGAATAGGGAATAAAAAATCGTATTATTTAGTTCAACATTTAGCCTCTGCTAAAAACAATAATTTACAAATAAATAACAACATTCATAATGAGATTCATTTTTACATTTACAATGGTACGCGTTATTCGTGTGTGAATATTTTTACAAAGATTATTATACAATTTTAACAGAAGCTATTCAAATAAAACTAAAAAAGCTATATTATACCGGATGTAATTTTTAACGTTGGGACAGACTTTTTGTATAATATTATACATCTCTACTTATAAAGAAAATGCCTAAGCAAATTACAATGAGTGATATTAAACAACTACAGTAAAAAGTTCCCAAAAAGTTCTTCATATTGCGTTAAGATATTTTTGTCATCGCGAGTTAGGCGACTGACTAACAAAAAGAAACAGTATAAAGACCACACAATCATATACCTTTTACGGACCGTAAAAAACTCATCTGGTATATATAGCTCACAAAACTAATAACAAACACATACTAGCAACGTTTGACGTCGCTATTCCTTCCAGCTATACACGAACTCTATTCATTGTCTATATCTAACTTCACTAGGTCGTCTCGCCTGCGAGTTATTTCCCGCGATATATCGACCAATAAAAATATACGACAGATATTATTAAATAGATAAAAATATAAAAGTAAATGCAATATATCCACTGGAAGAGAATCGGTTGATTGGAAGTATTCGATATTTGTGTTGAAGATGTAGAATAGATAAATGTCGAATATATATCCATGTACAGTAAGACCCCGCTTACCGGTGTTTCGGTTTACCGTTCCTTTATTTCAACCCGTGGTTTCGGAAAAAAAATTAACGGAAAGACGTCGAGTAAATAGTTCATGAAACAAATGCTAGTTTTTCTAATAAGCTCAAGGAATTAACTGAGCAAGAAGTAAACAGAAATATTGATAGTACTGATTCCGAAGAAAAAAAGAAATATTTTATTGCTGGAACTTATTGGAACGTATTCTTCGCGTTAAGCAGTGTCTTACTTTATACATATATAACAGTATCCTTGGTATTTAAATATATTTTCACATTATAAATGATACACTTAAAATTTGTGCTTTTAATATATGAATCTCACATGCTTATATACATTTTATCAATAACAGATTGAATCGGTATGGGCATTATGCGAAGGAGTGAAGACCATGTCTCAAAGAAAGTGGAAGGATAGAAAAGAGGAGGACAAGCGAAAAAAGATGAAATGGATATGTATAAAGGGAGAGTATGCTCAGATATGACGGACGATAGGGATCAGTAGAAGATTACATACTGCGCCGACTGTAATGAGACAATGGCAAGCTAAAAATGATAATAATGATGATATTGCATTAGTTGGCTATTTATTCAATTTGAGGAATGTAGGCTGGAATATAGCCCAATGAAGTTGTATCGCGGTATTCGAAGTTACATTCCAGTGAGGCAATCAAATGAACGATAAAGTTTAGTTTAAATCCGCCACTATTGTAATAATAACGCTTATGTATTACTAACGGTAGAATTAACGGACATGAAATCAAAAGGAAAGAGACAAACTGGAGGCTTTTGAAATGTGGTGTTGGAGGAGGATGGAAAGAATTAGCTGGAAGGATAAAGTAAGAAACGAAGAAGTACTACACAGGGTAAAAGAAAAAAGGCAGATATTGAACACAATAGAAAATAGACGAGGAAAAATGTTAGGACACTTGATACGGCACGATGATTTCATGAAAATTATTATTGAGGGGAAAATAGAAGGAAAGAGGGGGAGGGGAAGACCAAGGAATAGCTACATCAAACAAATTGAGGACAAAATGGGAGTCGTGTCGTATCAAGAATTAAAGAGCATGATGGAAGATCGCGGAAAGTGGCAAGAGCTCCACCGACAAAAGCGTAGCTCTCAAATTATGAATGAATGAATACTAAACAATTAATCACACACGTTCGCTACCATGCAAATGAACATGCCATTTAAATTTGCACTTTATATTCTGTTTTATAAGCATCATAACTGCAAACAACACTAAGTTCGCCACCTAGGTCGATGGCTAGTTAAACAACGTTTAACTGGTGGGACCTGAGGGTCCCTAAAGACTACGGCATGATAACCGTACGATAGAGACAGTAATATTGAAAGATGGGTACTTTTTTTACGTTGCAGATCCCGAAGCGACAAGAATGCTGAATTGAACTCTATTTTTTATGTACGAGAGTAGTTTTTTATTCAAAATTGCCTTGTATATTCCACTCTATATCCAATGGTAAGAGAAGAAGGACAGTTGGTTAACATATCTTGTTATTATAAAATGTATTGTATAACTTACAATTTACATTCCAAATTCAAATGACAATTCATAAACTATGTTATTATCTTACACGTAATACTTAACAATCGCAACAACTCTATATGATATAAGCATGTGAATTCACTTAATCAACAAACAAAATTAATCGATCGATTTTGTTGTTACAAAAACGAAAAAAAAAACAATAATTTACCCATTCCGTTATACTATAGGTGTATGTATAGCAGGGATGTTAGGGAGCTCCGTAACCGTAAACAAAACTATCGGATATCCGATATAAAAAAATATTCGTAACCGTGATTGAATCCGAAATAAAAGTTTCAGATAATATCGGATAGGGGCGGAGCCTAAATGAGACACGTTATGCAACTATTTTATTAGCTATTAGTATTACTTTGATGATCCGAAATAATTTCATATCCCCATCCGTATCCGGTATAATAATCATGCCTATATCCGAAACCTATCCGTATCCGAAATTTCATATCCATAACATCCCTGGTGTATAGGATTAGTCGTGAAGGGTATGCCGGCTCGAAAATTTATGATGAAATTGCAACAGCAATCCGTAGCACTAGCAAACTGTGTACCATCGCCTTGATATACCTGCCGATATTATCCGGCTCGAAGGACCAAATGAACAACCACGTGTTCACACTAAGAGCAAGGATGTACTAAACATCGGTTCAATAAATGACATAATATAGGTACAGGTGGTTGGTATATTCTTACCAAAACTGAACGGCACAGAACCAGATGGAATCGAATCTACGATACAAACATGCCGTTTGAACTGATAAGATTACAAAAATCTTAATAGCGCCTTTTAAATTAATTAGTAACGTCATCTAGCGACGTAAGTGGAAACTGTTCGTGACATTTTTATTTACTGAATTATACAAACGGTGCCTATGGCTTTCATCGTATCAAGGACAGTAAAAATTTTTACCTTTCATATTCCTTGAAGATCAAATTAAACACGTGACTACGCCCATCGTATGAACGTTTCAGAAATTATTGTTCAATTTTTGCTTTACTAGGATGTTCCTAGTAAAGTCATATGAATATCACTCAGTTCCGGCCCGGTATACCATTTACGACTAACTCTATATAGTAATTAGCTATTCACAATACATTTTATATATTACATAGCAACGTTGCTATGTTATTTACGTAATGGCATATAAAAACCACTCACATACTATATAGCTACCACAGTCCAAATGGAGAAACGTCTGGCCGGTCTGGGTCCTGCAAAAGAAAAATGTTTTTTAAATATACATCTTCAATAGTGATGACGTGACAAGAAGAATACAGTGAGGCTATAGTCTTTGATGCCAATACTTTCATTTAATATAAACGTCAAACGACTCAGCTGCGGGGCTCGCCGCCCGCGCCCCCCGCGGTCCCCCCCGCGCCCCCCGCGCCCGGTACCGGCGCGCGGCGCGGGCCCGCGGCCCGGCTGCGGGGCTCGCCGCCCGCGCCCCCCGCGCCCCTGCGCCCGGTACCTGCTACTAGTGGTGGCGCGCGGCGCGGGCCCGGCGGCCGCGGCGCCGCCCTCAGCTGCGGGGCTCGCCGCCCGCGCCCCCCGCGGTCCCCCCCGCGCCCCCCGCGCCCGGTACCTGCTACTAGTGGTGGCGCGCGGCGCGGGCCCGGCGGCCGCGGCGCCGCCCTCAGCTGCGGGGCTCGCCGCCCGCGCCCCCCGCGGTCCCCCCCGCGCCCCCCGCGCCCGGTACCTGCTACTAGTGGTGGCGCGCGGCGCGGGCCCGGCGGCCGCGGCGCCGCCCTCAGCTGCGGGGCTCGCCGCCCGCGCCCCCCGCGGTCCCCCCCGCGCCCCCCGCGCCCGGTACCTGCTACTAGTGGTGGCGCGCGGCGCGGGCCCGGCGGCCGCGGCGCCGCCCTCAGCTGCGGGGCTCGCCGCCCGCGCCCCCCGCGGTCCCCCCCGCGCCCCCCGCGCCCGGTACCTGCTACTAGTGGTGGCGCGCGGCGCGGGCCCGGCGGCCGCGGCGCCGCCCTCAGCTGCGGGGCTCGCCGCCCGCGCCCCCCGCGGTCCCCCCCGCGCCCCCCGCGCCCCCCGCGCCCGGTACCTGCTACTAGTGGTGGCGCGCGGCGCGGGCCCGGCGGCCGCGGCGCCGCCCTCAGCTGCGGGGCTCGCCGCCCGCGCCCCCCGCGGTCCCCCCCGCGCCCCCCGCGCCCGGTACCTGCTACTAGTGGTGGCGCGCGGCGCGGGCCCGGCGGCCGCGGCGCCGCCCTCAGCTGCGGGGCTCGCCGCCCGCGCCCCCCGCGCCCCCCGCCAGTCCCGTGCTCTCGGCGGGAGTCTCCGCGGGGCTCCGCTTGGACCCCACCAGCATCTTGAGCGCGCCGGCCGACATCAAGTAGAACCAGTACAGCTGCGGTAGCAACAGAATGCAGATCGAGATCTTACATCCAGTTGGTAATGTTTTGATGGCCTGCAAATTATATTATAATATTTGATGCTAATTAAAAAACACATATTATTTACCTAAAGTAGGTTTTCAAACTAGGTAAGATCAACTAATATTAAGTGGCAAACATCTCTGATAAATATACACGAACACGGACTGAGATGAATTATATTAAAAACCATCGAAAATAGACGAGGTAAAATATTGGGACACTTGAAACGGCACTATGCATTCGATCAAATCATCCAATCTAACTCACAAAAAAATATTTTTTATAAATAAAATCTCACCTCAAAATACGACAATCCCAACACCCTGCTGTACATCAAGCAGACATACGGCAGACTGATGACGCGGCACAGGAAGAACGTGGCCAGCATCAGCAGCCCGTTCACCAGGTACGCCTTGGACGCCTTCAGACGCAGCCTCGATAGGATCCCACGGATCGACACGAAGGGCGTGGACAGTTCCATGAGGTATACGAAGCCGAAGGTGCAGTCGCCGAGGTCACCACGGAGGTACTGTTCAATATCATCAGCTTAATTAAAATGTCCCCCTTCAATTCACAGGGGATCGAAATTACGACGGCCTGAGCCGAGATTCGAGCCCATAGCGGTGCAGTCAGACTAAAGTCGTATCCGTCAGGCAGAAGTTGACTTTCAGCCGCTCACCAAGAGAACCACCTGCACTCGTCTCATATCGTCCGGTGAAGCTGTAAAGGCCAGCTGCGGTCAACAGCATTAGAGTAGTCCGAAAAAAAAAAGTTGTTCATTGTATAGAAAATAAACGCTAATATTAGTGCAAATACTCAAATACGTTACAAATTTAAAATGAAAGAGAAGAGAATCACGTACGACTATGACGAGGAACCCGAAGCCACCAATGAAGAGATGGTGCATCAGTATGACAGGCTCGTGGCGGCAGTACTCCAGGAAGGTTGGCCTGGCCTGCCGCTTGGCGACAGTGGCGTCTCCGGACGACAGCGGCGCGTCCCCATTCTTGGACAGCTTCCGTTGAAGCTTGCTCTTGAAATAGTCCACGCCTGTGTGCATTTGGACGTGGACCTGTAAAAGTTCATTTCTTGGGTCTTTAGGAAAGTCGTTTCGTTCTTTTTTCGGGATCACTTCCGTATGATGATTTTCATTTCTTGAGCAAATGAAAGTAAATTTTCGCATATTTTTTCCAGAAAGTCGTTACCTTCTTTTTTGGGACAATTTTCGTATAATCCATCTAATTTTTTGGCCAAATCAAAGAGACTTTTCGTATAAAATTTTTGTACAACTCAGACCTTTCAAATCATCGTTCTCAGTTGTTGTTATTTGTCGATTTGCATCAACTAATGCCTGTATCAGCTTGAATCGAGATTTTTCAACAGCCTTCCAGAAGATAGTGTGGTGTATCTACGACATTAAATTTAGCGAAAAACCGAAATTCTGTAAACCAGTTCTGACAGTAACGAACTGTCAACACATTTACTCCAAACCCATCGGTTAATTTATTTCTGGTTTGTATTTTTACGATTTCTATAGTAAGAAAGTAAAATAGAACGAAAATGCTTATTGCTCTCTATATATAAAGGGACACCAAGCAAAGACTACTGCGTAGACTTAAACTTTGTCATACACAAACTTTGCTATATCAGCTCTCAAAACATGTGATTATACGGCTTAAGTGTCAAGCTGCAGAACCACTACTTTGTTCTTAGAAACAGCTAAACTTTTTATATAGTAGGTAAATGCGTTTTATGAAATGTTATACCATACCAAATTAATTGATTAAAAAACCAGACTGGTATATATTTTATCGAATTAGCTGTTACTTTGCGGAAGTCCATGTCATTACTCACTGGACTTTATCACATAGAGGAATGAAACAAAATAATGTAAACACATTGAGTAATAGACTATAGATTTACTCATAGGACAGTTCTTACTCGAAATCACGAACAGTGTCCCTGGATGTGGCTAGTAAAAAGTACATAGCTGTAACAGAGCATACTCCACTCACCATGTACATAGACCATATGTCGTAGAAGAAGTAAGCGGCACCAAACCAGGCGTACGCCTCGGACATGTAGTGGGAGGAGCGCATGAAGTCGCGCGTGCACGACCACAAGCATACGACCAGCCCGGTGAGGCACGACAGCGCCGCCTGCACCGCAGACACCAGCCTAGAGGTGGGACACAATAACTTCCTTTACAGGTACGCTCTTTCACGTATGGCAATTTAAAAAAATCTATTTAGATACAATAACGCTATATAAATCTTTATATAACATAAAACAAAGTCGCTGTCTGATCGTCCCTATGTATGCTTAAATCTTTAAAACTACGCAATGGATTTTGAAGCGTGTTGCGGGTGAATATTAAGATGTTGCTGGTCGAGACGATGTATATTACTGATGATGATAAACTGACAATGTGTACATAGAAATAATGATCTTATATACTAAATAAAAGTAGGAAAATGTAAGGTGGGGTGACACAATTTAGATACAGCAGTGCCTAGTAGACAATATTGAATTTGTCTTACTAGACATTATTAAATGCAATTATTATTTTATGTATCTAGGTGACTGTGTCCCATATTTATTTTAATAGGTAGAGTGATTCAAGAGGAAGGTTTATTATATATAATACATATACACCGAACTGTGCAAAGCCAGGGCGAGTAGGTAGTAATAAATAAATAAATAAATAAACCTGGACAATTAATACAGCGCCATTTAGCCCCACGGTAAGCAGAACCAGTGTTATAGGTACTAGACAACTAATATAAATACTTAGATATTATTTTTTATAAATACATAATATAAATAGAAAATGCCCAGACCGATACAAACAATCATACTCATGAACACAAATCTTTACACCGTGCGAGGACTCGAACCCGTGACCATCGGAAGTAAAGCAGTGTGCTAGATTGCTGGACAACCGAGGCCGGCCGTTTATTAATTTTGAGTTGATGCGTTTTAAATAAAACACCCATATATTATTTCTGAGTAACTTATAACATAAAAATGGTAAATTCATATTAATTTCCGATAGTGCATTAATTGCAAAAAGCTAGCAATATAGGTAATGTAATAAACAAGCATATGGCTAAACTAGACCTATGCACGACAAGAATCTGCAGATTCTGCCAAACTGAAGAGGAAACGCCGCTACACATCCTATGTGGTTGTAGCCCACTCATGCATAAACGAAATATCTCCTTTGGAAAGTTTACACTCTTTCCCGAGAAGATAAAAACCATCGCTCCTAAGAATATACTTCAATTCTTGTCCCTGACGGGTCTAGGTAACGAACTTTTTAAAAAGGGCGAGCACAATAGATCTATGTAGGTCGCAGTGCTACAGGTGCTACAAACATCTGACAATAGCCCAAACAACCCAATAAAAAAAATAAAAAAAATAAAAAAAAATAGGTAATGTCAATCTCAAATTTGTCTCCGAGATAAAAAATAAACAGAGCTTAGTCCAATAATATGGTCTATTTTTTTATCTTATTAAATAAGTAATTCAATTGAGTTTCTTGCCAGTTCTTCTCAATTGGATCTATATATTGAACTGGACGGATTACTGTCCAGTTCAGTAAGGGAAATAATTTATAATATAAAAAATTTGACGTTCATAGGCGGCTAAAATGTCCTACATGAATAAATGTTATTATTTTATTATTTCATTGAATTAGTGCTAATCGGTGGTTTGTATTCACACACTTAAACTTAAATTGTAAGTAAGAATAAATTATTTAAAAGAGCAACACATAAGTTTCTTGCTCGTTCTTCTTGTGATGAGACAGCATTGCGAATGAGCGGTAGATTAAAAAAAATGTGATGACTATTCAAAAGTGCTTCATTGTAAGTTTATTTGAATAAATGATTTTCTATTCTATTCTAATGATTTTTTAATTTTGTTGTTATTTTTTTAATTGGAACTTTGGACTTAACTAATGGGGTCATAGACAAACCTACCTTGGTTTGTCTATGGTCATAAATATTTTTTTCCAAAATACTGTATTCTATTCTAATTATCGCGAAATACGAAACCTTCGCAATATCATTAAATTCCCGTACACAGTTATAAAATATGATTGCAATATGAACAGAACTCTTAAAAACAAAGTTATAAAACGTGTCACAATAAATCCTTATCGATACAAATGACTTTCGGAAGTAATCACCAAGTGAAATGACTGTGTAATATCGCATTAGTTTAATTGTTAGACGTACCGAAACGTAACAAGGCCACGAGTCAGCTTGATGTGTTATCTATGTGACCAATTTCCTCCTATGATTGAAAATTTCTATAACGGTTAAGGTAGCTGTATTATGAAGCTTAGTGAAGTCAGCTGCGAGACCGAGGGTTGGTTAAGCTGTTAATTGAGCGGGACGTATGTATACATACGTCAAACGTAACACTTGCGTGTATGTGCATGACATATGATTATCTACATTACTGAAATTTATGTTGCGCCCCCAAACCTGGAACGGGTGGAACGTATAGTGTAGTACAAAGTTTTTGCATATTCCCTTCTTCCTGCTTATATAAGAAAAACATATATTTCATATATCTATACATATAAATAAAATTGTAGTATCTGCTGAATATATATAAATACGGTACATACACCAAAATATATTTTTACAATTTTTGTCTGTCTGCCTGTCTATTTGTTTGTTCCGGCTAATCTCTGAAATAGCTGGAGAGATTTTGACGGGAGTTTTTTTGGCAGGTAGCTGATGTAATAAAGAGTAACTTGGACTACTTTTGTTTTAGCAAAATAAAGTTAAATTCCACGCGGACGAGGTTGCGTGTACAGCTAGTATATATATTGTTCTGTTACGTACTGACACATCCTAACGAGAATCAGCGCCCGTTATATGCTGTGTAATTAAAAGAGGAATTCCCCAGTTAACAGGTTAGGGATCAGCCACCTCACAAATGTTGAACAAAGAAATAGAATACAAATAATCATTATTCAAATAAACTTAATACAAGCACGTTTGAATATACATAACTTTTAATTCTACCACTCATTCAGAACGCAGACTCATCACATGAAGAATGAGCAAGAAACTTGTGTGTTGGTCTTTTAAATCAATATTGTTCAGAATTACGTTTTTACGAATGATGTGTCAATACAAACTACATAGCAAAGTTCACATAAATAAATGAATAGTTACTTGAGTAATAAAACAAATCTATCACAGTTATTAGAGCAGACCAGTCCCTACAAGCATCACCCGTTCACGAGTATAACGGGTGAGCCAGATCACTGCATTTAGAGGTACCATATTTTAGGGACCCCAATGTCCCGTCCCACCACGCCACAACCTGACTGGTAATTTTTTTATGCATGATAATGGAATGATTCATCTGCCTTTTAACGGTTAAAGCTAGCGATGCACCAGTGGAGGATGATAGGATGAGCATGAGGTTAGGTCAGGAAGCCCCGTGACAAATTCACCAGGAACTTATCACGATGGTTTCTAGGGGGAACTGCGTGGAGGTCAACCTGACATGGTACATTGTTAGCAATGGAGTCGATTACCACTCACAATTCCCTTCCCACCTGTTGGACATTTATGTGAGCATGACTGACTCATGATACTACAACAAGTCACAATTAATAATACATTAATTACAATAGCAAATAAAGCCGCAGATAAGACCTAGTATTACATAAACGAGAGTAACACTAACTTATGGGGGGGAAAGGGGAGCAGTAATGTTAGTAATATGGACTGATGACCCCATATAACAATGTACCTTGTCAGGTTGACCTCCACGCCGTTTTCCCCTGGAAACCATCGAGATACATTCCTGGTGATTTTTTTTAATACTACTTTAGTGGCAAACAAGTATACGGCCCATCTGATTGTAAATGGTTACAGTAACCTATGGACGCCTGAGACACCAGAGGCGTTACGAGCGCATTGCCGACCCTTAAGAAACCTTAATATACCCTTCTTGAAAAACCCCATGCTGTAGTCTCGTGAGAAAACCTCGGCAGGTAATTCATTCCACAATCTAAGTGTACGTGAGGAATTTCCTCTTAAACCGCAGTGTCCGAGAACACTTTGGTTCTAGAGTGTGGGAGTTTCCTGTCGATGGCGAGCGGTGCGAAGGTAAAAGTTAGCCGTGGGCATCATGTCGAACAATTCCTCAGAACACAGTCCGTTGTATATGCGGTAGAACACACAAAGCAAAGCGAAGTCTCGCCTCAAGCTAAGTGGTACGATTTTTAATACGATGAGCTAACTGACCTGGCCTCTTGCTCATCTTATCATCCTCCACTGGTGCCCCGATAGCGTAAACCGTTAGCACAGGCGGGAGAACCATACTATTATAAATACACTAACTTGTTGGTGATGTCCAACACATCGCCGCAGCTCAGACGGTACTTGTGCCGGAAGCGCGTTCCCGCGCCGGTGTACAGCGCGAACACGTTCAGCAGCTCGAACATGGTCATGAAGTACACGAACCCAAGGGCGGTGAGCGCTCCGCCGCGACGCACCGATATCCTGGAACGATCCCAACACACCATAATATAGTATAATATTACTTTTTATGTAAAAGGATTTAACAAGTTAAGCATATAAAAACTGCACTCGCGTCTGACGAAGGGTTTTTACCTTCTATTTATTGTTTTTTATCTAAAATAGCCCTACACTCAATCTCACACCCCTAACCCTAATAAAGGGAATAAAAGGAAACATTAATGAATAAAGACATCTGGAATAGGTACTGAAAAAAAAGTTTTCGTCAAGAGGTTTCAACTCCATTATGGATTGAGTGTATGCACACCGCCTTATCTCCGATGGTTGCGGGTTCGAATCCTCGCACAGTACAAAGATTTATGTTAATGCATATGATGCGATAAGACCGCCTTTTGTACTTAGTTTTTTTTTTTGTTTTTAATTCGTTCATGTCCTTTATATGTTGGTGCAATAAAGTGTTATAATAATAATAATAATGATTGTTTGTATTGGTCTGTAATAATAATTTTTCTCATAAGTTTCCACATACAGACAGCGAACTGTTGCATTATATTATACCTACATTATAGTTATAGTTATACATTATTAGCTGACCCCGGGAACAAGGTTCCGTCTCAGAATTAATTAAGCTTTGAAGTTTAGTTACGCAATCAATTTCTGAACGCACCCTGTTTGACAGGATCGATCCCCAGTCCAATTCAAACGGGGATCGAAATTACGACGGTCTGAGCCGAGGTTCGAACCCCTAGTGGTGCGCTCAGACTAAAGTCGTATCCGTCAGGCGGGAGTTGGCCTTCAGCCGCTCCATAAGCCCTTCCGCGGGTTTGGAGTTCCATCTGCACTCGCCCCTAATGTCCGGTGCAGCTGTAAAAGGCCAGCTGCGGCCAACAGCATTAGAGTAGTCCGAAAAAAAAAGGTATCAGCAGTTTGTATGGGAAAATATAATTGTTATTTTTACAATTTTACATGCAATTTCTTCATATTTTATTACCGTTTAAACCTATACGAATATTTCTAGACTAAAATTAGCCAAATCGGTTCAACCGTTCTCGAGTTTTAGCGAGACTATCGAACAGCAATTAATTTATTTATATATAGATATTATAAAAATATTGTATTCTTACGGGAACGTGAGTCAGAAATACAAATTAACACAATTCCTTTTCTGGTTAATTTAATTCGAACTTAGGACATTAAATGTGGGGTAACAAATCACTATGCCAGGACATATTCAGGTTTGCACAAAGCAACAAATCTATACATATAAATAAAATTGGCGTGTCTCTTTGTAATATTAAAATAACCGTTTATTACTAGATGCACATGAATATAAATATGGTACATATACCAAAAAACATTTTTTACAATTTTTGTCTGTCTGTCTGTCTATTTGTTCCGGGTAAATCTCTGAAATGGCTGGACCGATTTTGACGGGACTTTATTTGGCAGATAGCTGATGTAATAAGGAGTAACTTAGGATACTTTTATTTTAGAAAAATTAATTTATTTTAGGAAAATAAAGTTAAATTCTAAAAAAACTTGACCTCGGCGGTCTAGTGGTCTAGCACACCGCTTTACCGACCGATGGTCGCGGGTTCGATTCCTCGCACAGCACAAACATTTGTATTCAACAATTGTATCGTTTGAGTATGATTGTTTGTATCGATCTGGGTGTTTTCTATGTATATTATGAATGTATTTACAAAAAAAAATTATCTATGTATTTGTATCAGTTATCTAGTTCCCATAACACAAGCTTTAGCTAGCTTAAACTGGGCCTATAAGTCGCTGTGTGAATTGTCCTGAGATTATTATTTTTTTTTTTTCCTCACCTTTTGCTGGTTTTCTCCACACTTACGGGCCGAAACCAAGTAAGTGCAGAGTGTGTGTTATTATTATTATTCCACGCGGACGAAGTCGCGGGTACAGCTAGTCATAAATATTCATACCGGATGGACCTCTTATTCATCGCCCCAGTGTATTTGTATGATTCTTAAGCGCCGACGGGCAGTCATTGCATTGTACTTCATACACTCTTTACATCGCTTACCCGCGACTATGCTTTGATTAGAAATAGAAATAATCTTTATCCAAATAAACTCATTACAAGCGCTTTTGAATAGTCATATATTGATTCTACCACTCGTTCGGAATGCAGATTCATCACAAGAAGAATGAGCAAGAAACTTGTGTGTTGCTCTTTTGAATAGACGTTTCTTTTTCATATAAATAACTAACTTTTGACCGCGGCTTCGCTCGCGTTAATTTATCCCCTTATAGGACGTAGTGGAATTTATCAAAAATTAACAAAGTTTCGTACAAACTTTCATCCCTTTCTTAGCGGATGCCTATATCATAACATCTTCCTGCATGCCAAATTTCAGCCCGTTCCATCCAGTGGCTTGGGCTGTGCGTTGATAGATCACTACGTCAGTCACCTTTGAGTTATATATATTTAGATTACAGTATAACAAGTAAGAGGCATGCTATAATCAACATAGAAATCGCTACACGCTCGTTATTATTGCAATCATATAATATTGTCAGTGATATGGATTTTAAGTTTTTCTATAAAAACATTAGTATCATTAACGAACTCTTCAATTTTATAATAAGCTTTTTTACAAAGGAAGTATTTTTTATATGACATTTAAATCTTTTTTCATTATTTATTACATAAACGATAGCCATCCATGATAGTGATACAATCTCTCTTTTAATCCTTATTAGATAAAAGATAGCCTCCATCCTAGTAATACAATCTGTCTTTGAATACAATTTCATTGCGACCGGTTAATAATAATAATAATCTCAGGACAATTCACACAGCGCCATCTAGACCCGAGCTAAGCTAGCTAAAGCTTATGTTATGGGTACTAGATAACTGATGTAAATACATACATAATATACATAGAAAACACCTAGACTGATACAAACAATCATACTCATGAAACAAACGATTGTGTTGAGGAATCGAACCCGCGACCATCGGAATAAGGCGGTGTGCTAAACCGCTAGACCGTAAGGGTACGTAATACCGGCCAACGCTCGCCAGTTTATAAAATTGCAACCATCGCCAATTTTCCTCCCGACCACGTTTGAATGGGGTCCACAATTGTCCCATTATCATATAACTGGACTGGATAGTCTACTAATATTATAACTGCAAAAGTAGATCTGTCTGTCTGTATTTCAAGTTTTCATGCCTAAACCACTGAATCAATTTTGATTAATTTCATTTGAAACTAGCTATACCCGAGACATATATAACTTTATTTTTCTAAAATAAAAATAGGATAAGTTACGCCTTATTACATCATCGGTCATCGGTCATCAGTCATTTCAGAGATTAGCCGGAACAAACAGACAGACAGAAAAATTGTAAAAAAAAGTCATTTTGGGGTATGTAATATAAATACGATATATTTATTTTGATATGCATGTAGTAAAAAACGGTTATTTCAATATATATGTATAGATATATATAAAACTCAAAGTTGTACGGACTCGGACGAAGCCGGGGCGATCTACTAATCACATACATATATAACGATCGTAAAGTATTCTTTCAGAGAGTAGAAACATTCAACGAAAATATCAGCAACCTTGTACATGAATAAATTCTAATAAACGAGTTTATTAGTACCGTGTAATTTATAAACGAAATAGTTCGGAAGAGCGCTCTCCAACATGAACTAATTCACAGATCACGGTCTCTTTAATTCGTTTGATAAAACTACTTTAAGAATAAAAAACATACACTAGGCACAAACACGAAGTAATTCGCAGATCTCTGACTCTTCAGTTCGTTTGATAAAACTACATTAATTAATACTACTTTATGAATCAAAAACATATACTAGGTACTTGCTACTAGTGTTTTGAGTAGTCATGCTCACTAAAATATCCAAACTTTTGGAGGCGTGGTGGGCCGGGTCATTGGGCTCCCTAAAATATGGTCGAACGCAGAGATGGCTGGCTTATCCGTCATACTCGTGAACGGGTGCTGCTTGTACTGGTCTGGACTGGTCTGCTCTAATCAATATGACTGGTTTTTCTTATTAACTGTTTAACCAGTTGGTTATATATATTCAATATTTTTTCTATTTGAGTTTTAATTGAATTAGTGCTAATTGGTGGTTTGAATTCACACACTTAAACTTAAAAATGTAAAGAAATAATAAAATTATTTAAAAGGGCAACACGTAAGTTTCTTGCTCGTTCTTCTTGTGATGAGACAGCTTTCCGAATGACCCGTAGATTAAAAAATTGTAATGACTATTCAAAAGTACTTAAATGTAAGTTTATTTGAATAAATAATTTCTATTCTATTCTATTCTATTCTATTCTATTCTTGCGGGCTAAAAACCCACACACACATATTTGCGTTAAAAACCCGGTCCATTTTTTTTTGTGCCCTAAAACCAAAGAATTGGCATTTGAATGAAATCAAATAAAAAACAATTCATTCGTATAAGACCTTCTCGTCTTTTATGTATGTCATAATTACATATTTATTATTTATAAACACCTACCAATACAATGTACAATGATGGTACATTGTATTGGTTACATTGTTTACAATTAATAAACTACTACATTGCTACATTGCTAGTATATGTATGTTTTATTTGATGGCAATGTACTTATGTATGTAATGTACAATTCAAGTTGATCTCCACTATCAAGTGGCGACCGTGACCGATTACCTTCATATCCCTATATGCTTGTTTGCCATCATCGTAGTATAAAAAATCATCAACAAAGTAATCTGAGGTTTGAAACGAGCGATAAAGAACTACAAGAGCGGACTATTCCGCAGAGGGTTTACGAACTAAATCGAGAGCGCCAAGTCACGAACAATTGAGCGTTATCGAACTAAAGAGCGGACTATTCCGCAGATGGTTTACGAACTAAACCGAGAGCGAGAAGTCACGAACAATTGAGCGTTATCGAACTAAAGAGCGGACTATTCCGCAGAGCGAAGCAGACTAAAGCCGAGAGCGCCAAGTCACGAACAATTG